TATTGACTCAAACTGCTCCTGAAAATGCAAATATTAGAGACTTTTACTGCTAGTAACTATGGACTAAGGAAATCAGAACAATCCTTTACCTAAAGGGAACTAGAAAATCTGGGGAAAATGTAAGAAATACCTGCATGAAGGCATGGGGGAGGAAAGCAAGTCAGAGCCTGAGCAAGTGAGCTCAGTGTTTGAGGCTAACTTTCCTGAACGGTGTTTGTTATTTCTGAAGGAAATGCTGTTAAGTTTGGTGCTGAGGTGGAGCGTGAAGGTGCTGGTGAAGAAGAGAACATAAGAAGGAAAAGTGAACAGAACAGGTTTGTCTTCACAAGAACTGCAGCTCAGCTTAGAGATATTTCAATCCCTGAAACTGTACTAAAGGCAACACCGATTCTAAGTCCTCTCATGTGCCTGCCAACAGCAAATGTGAATTAACTCTGGAAGAAAAAAGCATTATTTTAGGCCTCAAATTATTCCTATAAATAATTTTGCAAACATGATGCTTAGCACCCATTTAAAAAAAAAAAAACACTAGGCACATAAGGAGACAAGACAATATCAATGAAAACCAACAGAAACAGACACTAGAAACAACTAACAGATATTGCCATAACTGAACATGGACTTTAAGATAATTACACATACTATGTTAAAGGAGATAAAAGACAAGATTGATAATTTTGGCAGATAACTTAGAACTATAAAACAGAACCAAAAAGAAATATAAAAATCAACTGGGCACAATAGCTCATGCCTGTAATCCTAGCACTCTGGGAGGCTGAGGCAGGAGTATCACTGGAGGCCAAGAGTTTACCAGTCTGGGTAACATAGTAAGACCCTGTCTCTAAAGCAAAACAAAACAAAACAAAATTTAAAAATTAGCTGTAGCTGCAGCTACTTGGGAGGCTAAGGTGGGAGTTTAAGGCTGTAGTGATTGAGCCACTGCACTCAAGCCTGAGTAAAACAATGAGACTCTGAAAAATAAAAAAACAAACAACAACAAAAAAGAAATTTAAAAGTAGTTTAAAAAACTGAAATTAAAAACTCAATGAATGGTTTTAATAGCAGATTATATACAGCAGGGGAGGGGGATGGAGAGAAGCAGAGAGACAAATGAGAAGGTAACTGCAAGAACAGACAAACCTGTAAAATGCAGAGAAATAGTTAAGACACATAGACAATATAGTGAAATGGACTAACATGGGAGGTCCCCAATCCTTGGACCATGAACTAGTATCAGTCTGTGGCTTATCAGGAACCAGGCTGCACAGCAGGAGGTAAGCAGCAGATGAGCAAGCATTGCCACCTGAACTATGCCTCCTGTCAGATGAGCTGCAGCATTAGATTCTCAAGAAGGATGAACCCTGTTGTGAACTGTGCATGGAAGGGATCTAAGCTGTGTATTCTTTAGGAGAATCTAAAGCCTGATGATCTGAGGTGGAACAGTTTTATCCCAAAACCAGCCCCCCAACACCCCATGGAAAAATTTTCTTCCACAAAACCAGTCCCTAGTGCCAAAAAAGTTGGGAACTGCTGGTCTAACATGTATCTTTGTAGCCCAAGAAGGAAAGGTAAGAGGAAATGGGGCAGAAGAAATAACTGAAGTAATAATGGCTGATGATTTCCAAAACCAATGTAAGACATGAAGCCACAAATTCAAGAATCCCTAAGAACTCTAATTATAAATTAAAAGAAATCCATACTAGGGACAAGACAGAAAAATTACTGAAAACCAAAGACAGAGAGAACATTTTTAAAACAGCCTGAAAGGGCTGTAATCCCAGCACTTTGGGAGGCTAAGGCAGGCAGATCACCTGAGGTCAGGAGTTCAAGACCAGTCTGAAACCCCATATCAATAAAATAAAATAAACAAACAGCCAGACAATAAGACTACTTTCAAAGGAACAACAGACTGACAAGTGACTTCTCAACAGAAAAAGTCAGAGATAATGGGATAGCTTTAAAATGCTAAAAGAGTTCTCCAAGAAAACACCAAATGGGAAATGAGACCAGTGCAATGGGAGAGCCCAGAGGCCCCAAAATGGGAGGCCGCAGCAGTGGCATCCAGGGTTGGCTGAGGCCATGGAGCTGGTGGTGGCAAGGCCAAGGACAAGGAGTACCTCCCCATCACCAAACTGGGCTGCCTAGTCAAGGACATGAAGATCAAGCCCCTGAAGATCTATCTCTTCTCCCTGCCCATCAAGTAGGCTGAGATCATTGACTTTTTCCTGGGGGTATCCCTCAAGGATGAGGTTTTTTTTTTTTTTTTTTTTTTTTTTTTAAAGATTATGCCAGTAGAAATGCAGACTTGCACTGCCCAGTGGTCCAGGTTCAAGGCACTTGTTGCCACTGCGGAATAAAATAGCCAGTTGGTCTGGGTGTTAAATGCTCCAAGATGGTAGCTACTGCCATCCAAGGAGTCATCACCTTTGCCAAGCTCTCCACTGTACCCGTGCAGAGAGGCATCTCAGGGGACAATACTGGCAAGCCCCACAGCATTCCTTGCAAGGTGACAGGCCACTGCAGCTCTGTGCTGGTACACTTCATCTCCATCCACAGAGACAATGAACGGTTTTGTCTTGATTCCTATGCCCAAGAAGCTGCTGATGACAGCTGACATTAAGGACTGCCACACCTCAATCAGGGGCTGCATTGCCACCCTGGGCAACTTCATCAAGTCCACTGTTAATGCCATCTCAAAGACCTACTGCTATCTGACCCCCAACCTCTGGAAAGAGACCATATTCACCAAGTCTTCCTATTTGGAAATTAGGAATTTATTGACCAGAGTCTCTCCTGCAGAGAACCCAGGCTGCAGCTATGGCTATTATACAGTGTAGGATTTTTATACAAAAAAATAAAAAGAAAGTGAATTAGCTTTTTAAAATGCTAAAAGAAAACTATGGCAAACCAAGAGTTCTATAACTAATGAAATGACACTTCACAAACGAAAAAAAAGTTCTAAAATTAGATGTGGTAATGATTGCATAACTAAATATTCTAAAAACCACTAAACCATAAGCTTTAAATGGGTAAATTTTATGGCATGTAAATTATATCTCAATAAAACTTACAAAAAAGAAAACAATGAAGAATAAATAATGACATTTTTAGACAAGCACTAAGAATTTGTTGCCAGACCTGCTCTAAAGAATACTATAGAGTATTCTTTGGGGAAGAAAGAAAATGACCCCAAAGAGAAGACTGGAAGATGACTGGAATTAAATAAAATTTAACCCCTTTTGCACATTGTTACACAAAAATGAATTCTACATGAACCAAGTATCTTAACATAAAAGGGAAAACACATGTAAAGTTTCTAAATGTTACAGGAAACTATTTTCTTGACATGTAAACCCCCAAAAGAGGCTGGGTGTGGTGGCTAGTGCCTGTAATCCCAGCACTTGGGAAGCTGAGGCAGGTGGATCACCTGAGGTCAGGAGTTCGAGACCAGCCTGACCAACAAGGTGAAACCCAATCTCTACTAAAACTAAAAGTCAGCCAGGCCTGTAATCCCAGCTACTTGGGAGGCTGAGGCAGGAGAATTGCCTGAACCCAGGAGGCGGAGGTTGCGTGAGCCAAGATCGCGCCATTGCACTCCAGCCTGGGTAACAAGAGCGAAACTCCGTCTCAAAAATAATAACAATAATAAACCCCAAAAGAGATGTGGGTAAGATATCTGAACGCCAGAAGATACCAAATAAACATGAAAAGATGTTCAGCCTCATCAGTCAACAAGAAACTGTAGATTAAAACCACAATGAGATACCATTTCATAATCATCAGAATGGTTAAAATTTAAGACTGACGATACCAAGTGTTAACAAGAATGTGAAGCAACAAGAACTCTTATACACTTTTCGGTAGGAATGTCAACTCGTAGAACCACTTCGGAAACTTGGTGTTTACTGCTAAAGCTAAAGATATACGTATCTTTTGACCTAAAAATTTTACTAGATATATATCCAACTGAAATGAATGCACCAGGAGAGACCACAACAATATCCCTAACAGCATTATTAATAGCCAACAAAGCTAGAAACAACTAAAATGTCTAGTAACAGTAGAATGCGAACACTGTGGTATATTCGTACAACAGAATACTATAGAACAGTAAAAATGAACAAATAACGAGTACAACGTAATGGACGGATCTCAAAAACATCTTGAAAACACCAGACACAAAAGAATATTGTATTATTCTTGTATTATTCCAAAAGGAAACTACAGTTAGAAACTAAAGTTTTTATGAGATACGTGTTTAAAAAGTAAAATTAGAAACGGTGGGGGAGAAGATTACCCTCCCCCCCCAAAAAAAGTCACAATAGGGTTACCTCTGGAGAAGGAAGGGTTTAGTGACTGGGAGAGGGCACCCGGTCTTCTGGGTGAACCAAGGTTTTATTTCTTGGCCTGGTAACCAGCAGGCTCCCCGACTGAGTGATACATCAGTGAGTGGTACATTTGGGGGCCTTGCACGTTACTGGCGTGCAAGGAAAAAAAAAAGGGGGGGGGGACAGAACAGGGAGACGAAAGGGGTGACCGGCTTCAAGAAGAGGGGAAGCTCCGCCTGTAAAAGCCCCAGCGCGGCTCTGGGCACCGGCAGGGGGAGGCTTCGGCAGGGCCCGGGGGCTTCAGGCTGGCCTCCTCCGGGCTGGAGGGCACCGACCCGGGGCTTCGGCCAACTTCGGTCCTCGTGCGGTCGGGACGCGGCCACACCTGCCCGCGGGGTCTGCGTCCCCCGCCCGCCGCAGGCCCCCCACAGCAGCTAAGGCCAGCGCCGCCCGCCCCTTGGGGAACGCCGGCCCCCAGAGCCCAGCAGCCTCTCCCGGCTCTGCAGACGCCCCCGCGACTCTCGCGAAGCCATTCCCGCGCTCTGAATGCCCCCGGCTCTCTGCAGAGCCCTCGCTGTCCCCCTCCCGTCCTCGGGGGCACCGCAGGCCGCCAACCCAAACCCTCCGAAGCTCCCTGCTGCCGCCTCCCACGAGGCGCCGGACCCAACTCACCTCATTGTCGCTGCCGGGAACGGGCGCGCCGGGCCAGGGGCAACCCGGCGGCGGCGGCGGCGGGGCGCGGGGCGCGGGGCGCGGGCGCTAGCGGGGGAGCCGGCCCCGGGCGCGGCGGCTCCGCGTCTGACTGGGCTGCGGGGGGCGGCGGGGGCTCATCTTCTCCTGGCGGGCGTCGGGGCCGCTAGCTGCGGGGAAGGGCCGCGGCGGCGGCGACTGACAGCTGGGCCCCGGCCCCTGCCATCTTGGCGGGCGCGTGCCCGGGCCGGCGTGTGCGCGGGCGCGTGTCCGGGGGCCGCGGCTGGGAGGTGGGGAGCGGCAGTGGGAGGCGGCGAGCCGGCTGCGGTCCGGGCGGCGGGAGCGCGTGCGCGTCAGCCTGAGACTCGGGGCGGCGGCTCCTGGCGAGCGTGCCGGCGGCTCCGAGTCCTCGAGGGAGAGGCGAGCGGGCGCTCGGGCTAATCTCACTGAGCCCAGTAGCCGAGCCCGAGGTTGCGTGCGTGGCTGTGCGCCCCGCAGCCCGGCGATGGGACGACGCGCGCGTGCGCTCTTCCGCCCGCGGCCGCTGAGGTGAATGAGCGCGCGCGGCGCTCGAAGCCCGACACAAAAGGCGCGGGGCCCCACGGTCCGCGCCTCCGGGAGCGCCGAGCTTGAGGCTGCGAGGGGCGGGGCTGACGCGAGGGGCGGGGCTGAGAGGCAGCGGGAGGGGCGGGGCGGGGCCGCACGTGGCGCGCTGCGCTGCCTCCCGCAAGGACGCTCCTCCCGACCCCGCCCTCGCCCTACCCCCGAGCTCAAAGAGGCCACCCGGGGCATCGGGGTCGGTGCTTGGTGGCCGCATGATTCCCACCACCCGGCACTGCTGAGCACCCTGCCCGCTCGGACTCGGGGCATCTCTGATCCGAGGGGCGTCGAGGTCACCGACGACTGATTCCCTCTTTGTAAATGAGGAGCCGTCGCGGGGACGGAGAGTTGCAGCTTTGGGGCGATATCAGTATTCGAAGTGTCTCCCCCAGCTTAAGAGCCCACTCGGCGCCCCAAAACCGCAGCCTGTGAAAAATAACGTTTACCATACACAGCGTCAAGTAGTTCGTCCAGGTTGTCTTCTGGTTTTTAACTCCCTGTCTTTCCTAAAGCTTAGTGATCTTCACTGCTGGCTGGAAACCCCAAACCCTCCAGAGTCTCACTCCTTGTGTGTAAGAAGACACAGTTCCGGCCGGGTGCAGTGGCTCATGCCTGTAATCCCAGCACTTTGGGAGGCCGAGGCAGGTGGCTCACCTGAGGTCAGGAGTTCGAGACCAGCCTGACCAACATAGTGAAAGCCTGTCTCTACTAAATACAAAAAATTACCCGGACATGGTGGAGTGCACCTGTAATCTCAGCTACTTGGGAGGCTGAGGCAGGAGAATCTCTTGAACCCAGGAGACAGAGGTTGCAGTGAGCGGAAATTGCACCACTGCACTCCAGCCCGGGAGACAGAGTGAAACTCCATCTCAAAAAAATAAAAGACACAGTTCCTCATGCGTTACCAGTTTGGGCACTATTGCCTCCCTTCCCCCTGTCACAGAACATTAAAATAATAGCTAACTTATAAAAAATGGTCTGAACAAGAGTATTTAAAGCATTTGTCAGTGTCTGGCAGTTAGGAGGGCAATGAAGACTCGATATTTTTCTCCTGTCCAGGATTGAGGCAAGGGTGTGTGTATTAAGCAGTTTTGTCCAAGATACGGTAAAATGGTGGAGCCAAGTCTCAAGCAGTGTTTCTCTGACTCGGAATCCCAGTGCCCAAGCATTCCAGTTTGCTGGGGTTGAACATGAGGGTCATGAGTTGCAGTTTGGGTCTCTATGTGCTTGTCTCTCCCCCCACCACCCCCACTCCTTGTCCCTCCCTCACCATGTACAGGTTATAGAATTCCCTGGCGATTGGTTGTAGCATCTCTGCTTTCCTTCCTGTATTTGTTTAAGCCAGAGTAGTAAAACCTGACGGTACCGTGATCTTCTACCACCCTGGTAGCAGCCCCTTAGGTTTAGCCTCTCATAACCTCATTTGTCCCTCTCTTCACAAGTTCTAGAGTGGCCTCTTTGCTACAGGAGAGCCTTGTTGCATCCTAAAAATTACTAAAATGGACAAGCCTTGGGTCATCTGGACATCCCAGCTCTGCTGTGGAGAGGCAAGGTTAACCCCTGGTCACTGCCTATCAAAGTCCTGTGCCGAGACCTTGGGATACAGGCCTGCTTGTTTGCAGCCTAGTTTATTGATGCTTTTTTAACATGTGGCCCACTCTGATCTCCAGATCAGGTATTTTCCCTGCTGCCCTGAAGTCTGACAAGTTGTTACCATCCTGCTCCTGGAGAGGTTGTTTCTTGCATCTGATGTTTGTTCATCAGAGGGCTTCATGAGCTGCAGGAAGGGCTGAGAGAGGACAGACTGAGACCATTCACATCCCATCCTGTGCCCTGCTTCCACCTGAGTGGGCATTGGTCTTTGTTCAACAGACCCTGGGATGCTTGGGGAGTCAGAGGCTCCTTGTATTAATCCTCCAGCTCACACCTCTCTGACTTCCATTCCTCCTCTGACAGGTGGGAATCCTAAAGCCCATCTCACAGGTGATGCTGAGGATCAGATGAGATGCTGATGTCCACACGAAGTAGATCCCGAGAAAGGCCTTTTCTGCTCTTCCCCAGTGTCCTCCCCCTTGCCTCCCCTTCCCCACTTCCTTAATGAAGCATAATTTGAAACCACAGTCTATTTGGCACGTTTTGCATTGTCTGAACAAAGGCTTTATTCCTTAAAAGTACATGAGTTCAGCTGGGCGTGATGACTCAAGCCTGTAATACCAGCACTTTGGGAGGCCGAGGTGGGCAGATCATGAGGTCAAGAGATCGAGACCATCCTGGCCAACATGGTGAAACCCTGTCTCTACTAAAAATACAAAAATTAGCTGAGCATGGTGGCACGCGCCTGTAGTCCCAGCTACTTGGGAGGCTGAGGCAGGAGAATTGCTTGAACCCGGGAGGTGGAGGTTGCGGTGAGCCGAGATGGTGCCACTGACCTCCAGCTTGACACCTGGCAATGCAGCAAGACTCTGTCTCAAAAAAAAAAAAAAGTACATGAATTCATGTTTTCCATTCTTCTGATGGAAAGAAAATTAACATTTGGACATGTGGCTCCCCCAAATGACTTATTTCTGGAGGTCACCAGTCCTAGGATTGGAAAGATTCCCTTGTCAGAGTCAGTGATTTCATGACATCTGATATGTGTGGGTGCAGCACACTTGGCCAGGCTGATGACCCATGGCTCCAAGCACCCCTGGACCGGACTTCCCATTGTAAGGGAGGAAGGAAACATGGTTTTGGCTGCTGGTTGGGTTCAGAATAACCACAGAGTCACAGATAACAGAGCTAGAAATTCTTCAAAGGACATCTCATCAACCTAATTGTCCAGAGGGTGATGAAACTGAGGCCCCATGAGGTCACACAGGTGACTGAATAAGAGCCAGATGAGCATATATTTCTGCAGACTCCAAATCCCTGGACTGCCTCCCCAGTTCTTGAAGTTTTTCCAGCCCTGGGGTCACTGCTGAGGAGGCAGCCCCATGGACCGTCTTCTCCATTACTTAGTGTTTGCCAAAACGAAACTCACCTCAAATAATGGAAAGAAATACAGTTGCTTTTGATGATTCACCAATGAGACCATGTCTGGTTCATATTAACCAACATATGTGAGTTACAGATGCATGACAGAATCCAAAACAAAGCATGCTTAGACAACCACAGATGTCTCAAAGGTTCAGGGACCACCTGTGATCCTGTACCCCTTTTTCATTCACTCCATTCATCTTGAGGGAATGTGTTCTCTTTCTGGTCCACAAGAGGGCATAGTTTTAAGGGCAAGAACTTCCCAGCGCCATGGCCCCCTCCCATCTCTCTCCATCAGGGAGATTTAAGGGGTTCTGGGTCAAAAGTCAATCACTCCAGTGGAAGTTCTAAGGAACTCCTTCCATTGGCCCGGGGTCTTAGAGAAAGTGGGGGTTCCTCCCAGGTTAAAATCCCCTTCTTCCACACCCCTTCAGACTCCATGTTTGGGTCCCTTCCACGAACACTCCCTTTGTGGAAGCCATCTTTCTCTCTCCTGGATTTTCCCTCTGGAGTCCCCTTCCACGCTCTCTCGTGGAAGCCTGTCTTTCCCTCCTAAACTCCATCTCTCTCTATTCCCTTCCACTCAGTGTGGAAGCCGCTTTCCTCTCCTGGATTCCATCGGTCTGGATTCTCTCACTCAGTGTGAGAGTCAGCTGTTTCTTTCTCTCTCCTTCTCCTGTTTCTCTTTCTCTACCTAAATAAATCACTTTCTACAAACACTTTCGAGTCCAGCATTTACCGCACACCACCCCGTGGTCTCCTCTCCCATTCTTGGGGAGTGATAGACTAAGAACCTGGAGAAACATCCTCTCAGGGGAACTGAGGGCTCCCCTGAACCCAAGCATTACAATCTCATTGCCCAACTCAGTTATTACCAGCAGTTGTTTTCCTTAAACACAACACGGTTAGTTTTCATTCATTCATTCATTTATTGTGCCTTGAGCTCTTCAGCATGTATCTGCCTCCTCTCCTGCCTTGCCCGCTGCCTCAATCTACCTGGCAAATCATCTTCAATCCTGCTTGTGTGTCAGCTCTCCCCTGGAGCTCTCAGCACCACCCTCCCCCACCGCAGGCTGCCGGCTCCTTCTCCACGCTGTTTCTGGGTCACACTCCGCCCTCCTGCATCGAGGCTGTGAGGTTGTCTTTGTACTTGCAGACTCCCCCACTAGGCTATGAACTTCATGACAGCAGCAAGCAAGTCTCATTCCTCTTTGTACTGCCAGCCTCTCAGCCCTGTGGGCTGTGACAGGGCAGAATTGGAGGAATCCTGCATGAGTGCCATCATTCCAACCCAAACAGTGTCCTGGGAGGGTCGGGACCGCTAGCCTGTGTGTGCAGGCATTTTTGGAAACCACAGCTCCTGCTTGTGTTCCGTCTGGCAGAAACAGACATTACTTCCGGTCCATTTTGCCTTCCACACCTTGAAGATGGTCTGTACTTCACAGCTGGAGCTTTTTTTTTTTTTTTTTTCTTGAGAGAGAGTCTCACTCTGTCACCCAAGCTGGAGTGCAGTGGCACAATCTCAGCTCACTGCAACCTGTGCCTCCCAGGTTCAAGTGATTCTCATGCCTCAGCCTCCCCAGTAGCTGGAGCTACAGGTGTGCACCACCACACCCAGCTAATTTTTTTTTATTTTTAGCAGAGATGGGTTTTCACCATGTTGGCCAGGCTGGTCTTGAACTTCTGACCTCAGGTGATCCACCTACCTCAGCCTCCCAAAGTGCAGGGATTTCAGGTGTGAGCCATGTGCCCCGCTGGCTTGGAGCTTATTTTAACTGCACCCTTCTCAGGCTCCTCCACTCAAAAGTGACCTTCCCTAAGATCATTTTTCACTGGCTTTGAATGCAGGGGGGTGACTCTAGGATGAGGGCCCTGTGGCCATACTGGGGAGCACTCCAGCCTTCTGCTGGGGTGACTTAGAGATCTGGACCCATTGCTAAGAAGTGTGTCCAGACGGGACTAGGGGAAGACCTTTGCTACCTGTCCTACAGAGGGCAACTTCTTAGTGCCACTGTTTCCGA